CTTCTATGCCTTCTATGTAATGTCAGAAGAATTTCCATATATGAAATGGATGTGAACTTTAACTCTTATTTTGACCCTGTCATTCTCTCTTTCTCTGTCTGTGTGTATATATATGACTATTGTGTATTATTTGAATTATGCATTCAAATGAGGAAAGGGTTTTGGTCTGTTGTTTTATGCATAAATAGGGAAGGTGCTAATGAGATTGCTTATTATTATCTTTTTCTAACGGTTTACAGCATTATATCAATGTAGAGATTTCTAATAAGATGTTAAGACTTGTGTAAGTGTCTAGATGTAAAAGTACTAGAAAACTAAAATGACAACTGAAAAGAAAAAGGGAAAAGAATTTCCTGCGTTGATGGCTCCCAGATTACCAGCTGGCAAAGATCACAGCACATTTAATTCCATCTCATGACATCTGGACCAGGTAAACAAAGGACAGGCTAAGATAAAGGACAAGCTATATGCAGAAAAGGAGTCAAAAGAACAATGAGAAAATCAGCACTGTTACTTGACAATTTACAGAGTTATACAGTGGGAAAGAAAATGCTGCCATTCCTGTAAAACCCTGAAGAATAAAAAAAGCACAGCAGAAAAACAGCATGTGGTCACCAGTCTATGACAAGTGATGTGATGAATACTCAATAGCCTGTGTCCCTTGTCCCCCTTGCCACCAAAGTGACCCTGGTCAGACTCCTTGGAGACAAGAGCAGGTGGGTTTGAGAGAATCCACAGGAGTTAAATCAGTTTTATTTAAATTATCATTGCCTATTATACAGTTTCACGCTGAGCTATGTACAGTCAGAATATTGAAAGTAGTACCTAGTTTGAGACCTTGCTCAGACCAAAGATATCCAAGAGACATAAATAAAGGACAGAAACTAGTATGCATAGTTTTTTGTACGTGAATTTTTCCATAAAATGTTATAACCTTTGTAAACACTAGTGTGAATATTTCATCTATTTTCTGATTTAGGCACAACGTATCTTTGAATACCACATTGCATAATGCATGGTGTTGAATCAGCTCATGTAGAGTGGAAACGCAAAGTGCAAGTTAGGTTCTGAAAAGCTAGAAGATCCTATAATTTTTACTGCACAACTGTAAGGAGTTTGCTTGCATAATCCATTCTGTTTCACTGAACTTCTCTGCTTGTATCCTCTCCTTGTATTTATGCTGCAAGGATCATAAAAATGTTATAAACTTCACCATTTAACATGCCAGAAACTGAAGCAGCAGAAACGTAAGTAGCTATTTATTTTCTCCATAAGTAAGCCTACTAAAAACTCAAAGAATCAAAGGGTAGAGGACAAAGCCATTTGGTAGCTTGCAGACATACATAGCTTCTTCACTCAGTGCAAGTCATAGTGCAGTACATTCCAGAAATGCTTGGCAGAGAAAGTCTCCTGAAAATAAAGGTGATTATTTTATCACCTTTTTGCTAACATAAACAAGGATCACAGACAATTAGATTTTTATATAGACTACTTTAGTAATTTACATCTCTGAAGAAGTCCTTGCCAGTAGTTTATGTTTATGTTTACAGGGTTTACCAGTTTTATTTTCTCACAGGAAATAAAATAAAATGAAATATTTTTTATCACAGGAAGATGAGAAAAAAGTCAAAGCAATGGTCTCACTGTTCTTCCTTGTGTACATAATCTGAAATAAAGCAAATAAGAGATATGAAGAAGCTGAAACCAAATTTCTGCAGGGATAAAATGGTTTGCTTTCTTTTCTATATTCTTCTTCCTTCCTCAAAACAAAGATGAAGCTGAAACGTACAAATTGGAAATACTTCAAATTATTTCCTGCTAGGTGGATAGCCAATTACTGTGGATGAATTTCTCCATTTTTAGAGACAGAGAGCATTTTGTTTTTTACTGAAATATGGTCTTCATTTTATCTTCTTGAATGTTTTTCACAGTGAGACTTAAAACACAATGTACAGATAAAATACCAGGTGTAACCATATCAAAGTGCAGTTGTTGCCTTCTCTGTTGAATGAATAACCAGGTAAAATTTTCCTTCCTTTTGTTTTGATAAATTATATTGCCTTCACAGCAGGCATGCTATTTTTATTATTTATTACTTCTTTATTGTGTAATGGCGATTCATATCATAGTTCAAGAAGTTTCTTGGAATACTGTACTGGAAGATAGGTGTAGCTTATAAAGAGTAGGTTATAAGAACAAATGGGATTTATAGTCTGACCTTTTTGGAGTTGGTCATAGAACTTCAATCTGTGCTTCTTACATCAAGAACCATTATTTGTGATGGAGGGAAAATACTTAGTGACCTGGGAGTTAATATTTGTACAATGGAGGAAAATGCATCTCATATAATTTTAGGTGTTTACAATAGACACATCTACACTTGCCTTAGTCCTCTCTCCTCGTGGAGAGTGGAAGAAAATAAACATTTCTAGAGTTCATGTCATCTAATTTATTTCAGACATGAGGCTTTTTGATGAAATGAGTCATTTCCAAAAGTGAGTGGAGCTTAGGGAGAAAGCATGCTGCCCAGTAGTAACTTAGCCTTGAGGTCTCTTGCCCACAGCTTAATTTACATCAGTCTTCTTCTCTCACATAGGAGACTACTGTTAAAGGAGCCTACTGATGTATTAGGTGCTCTGTTCTATCTCTGGAGGCTTGGTGAGTATGGAACAATTCTAAAGGATGTTATCCTGAAAAGGCAATAGCATCCATGAGACCAAGTGGGATTCATTAGAACATCTAAAATGACACTAGAGAATAAAATAATACTTTCCCGTTTATTCCAGTTTCTCTTCTAATTTTGTCTATCTTCCCTAGCCAAGGGTCTTTTCTAACCCTTTCATTGTTCTTATTGTTCTGCTCCACATTGCCTTGTTGTTTTGCATCTTCCTTGAATTATGGTTGAGAGCTGCACTTTATACCAGGGATCTTCACTGATGTTGAACAGAACAGAAGGAGCCCTTATAAATCTTACAGTTTGTGATCCTAGTTAGAAGTCTAGCGTGTTGCCTTTTTTGTTGTTGTTGTTATTAATTATTGCAACAGCATGATGTTGCTAACTTGTGTTTAGCCTGTGATTCTTTATAAAGAATAAATTACTTTTTGCATTTGATCACTTTTAATTGGTATTTTGTCTTCTAACATGACTGCAATCCTTTCTAGCTTTGAGTAACTGGTATTTGTAGTAAGTGTGCTCCATATTCCATCACTGAGGTGCCTGATGTAAATACTGAACCTACTGCATCCCTTACAGAACTTCAGTCAGTACATCTTTCTATTCTCACAGTGTCTCACTAGAAAATATAGATATGGCTATCTGTCAGTGCTCTTCCATCCCTTAGACATTTAATCAAATTATGTTTAATAGCAACAAGTACGGAACATAGGTTTTGCTAAAAACAGATATTACATTGCCCCAAAAGGAGATTAGAATGGGCTGAAACAATGTGTTCTTTATATATTCCTCTGCTTTTCTTCTAGATACTGAATTATTATCAATTTTTGCCGGATTTCTGAAACAGAGTTAAAGTTGTCTTCACTCTTCATGCACCATTATTTATTTTCTAAGCTTCTGATGTCTCCCAACTCCTTCAGGAGTTTTCAGAGATCCAATAAAATACTGCAGCAGACTGCTCAGTATGGCATCTCAGAATGAGCTCTGCAAAACCAAGCAAATCTAAAAGATCTGAAAACATCTAACATATGAACATTATTTGGAGGCTATTCTCCCCCACACATCTTTTTCTCCCACTTTCTTATTCTGAGGATTGCAAGCTTTGCTTTTTCTTGTCTTATCTACCAGATCTTTTTGATCTGTGGTGTCTTTGATCTGATACACACTTCATTGGGAGTCATTCCTGAGAAGAATTTCTAGCCTTGACATTTTCTACTTACAATTTTGTGAAAGAAATATTACTTTCACAGTCTTCTGTTTTCTGACCTTTCATTTGTTTCCACTGCTATTTATATACTTTCAGGTAAGGAGTCTCTCTTCATCTGCATATAGTGTTCAGTGACCAAAATAGAAACTTTAATAAATCCTTCTTGCTGGGAATCCTCTGCTTTTATTTTACTTTACTATTCTCTTCAGGCTCTTTAGAGGCAGGTATAAGCAAGAATCTGAAGTTGAAATGCTTAGAAATTAAAACTGGATTTTCTGACTGAATTTGAGAAATTTGTTTTACCTCAGAAATGCATCCTGATTGTACATCTGGTGGGTTGACCTCAGCACACAGTCAAGCACCCACAGCTGCTTGCACGTTGCCCTGGCAGCAGCACACAAGGAAGAAAATATCAAGAATGAGAGAATGAGGAGACTGAGGGTTGACATACAATCAAGGAAATTCTTTACCAATTAATATAAATATTTTAAGTACTGGGAGTGTTAGGAAACACACACAAAAAAAGAAACACTTATAACACCAGTCCATTCCCGAGACCAGCTTCACTCCTGGCAAGACTCCTCTCCTTCCCTCTGTTATAATTTCAGTGAGGCAGCAAGCAGCACATGAAGCAATTGCAGTCAAGACAGAGCAGATTCTCTCTGCCACTCCTTCCTTTTCACATTTTTGCTGCATTTAGATGTTGGTCTTCTACAGGCTTCATTTCCTTCAGGAGTGGAGCTGTGGAGCACCTATCTCCTCTTCTCCTGACCCAGGTGCTGCAATTGCTGTTTGCCTTAATTCTCTCCTCATCTTCTGGTTCTCCATCTGTTTCTGCATTCTGTCATCCTTTTCCAGTGATTTCTGCCCTTTCCTAAATATATCTTTTCAGAGGTATCACCAGCTGTCTGGGCTCAGCTGTGTCTTGCAGTGGGTCCATTGGAGACATCTGGTGGACCAGATGGAGGCCAGTACGTGCCAGACAGGCAGGCCCTGGCCTCATCTCAGAGAGAACAGTGCTGTGGCCATGCCACTAGTAAAACCTTGTCACTTACACCCAATATAATGTATTAGTCTCTGATGGACTTATGTGACTTGGTTTTCCATTCAGTTTTGAAGTGTTGTGGGTTTTTTTTTTTTTTTTTTTTTTTTTTTTTTTTTTTTTTTTTTTTTTTTTTTTTTGTCTTCAAGAATACGTTGTGACCCATTTTGTACCTTTGTTCAAAGACAAAAAGTTAACAACACTTAGCTCAAGAAGAGAAAGGATAAGAGACGATGTTTGTGTTGCCCATAAGGGCACCATGGCAGTAAATATTAAAAAGGGAGAAAAATGTGTAAGATAAGTGATAAAGTTTCTGCAGAAACAAGTACGTGTTGATAGGCCACAACTACATTTAGCCTAAGTAGGAATTGAGAAGCAGGCTTCCAACTGTATGAGCCTGTTGCTCTGGAATAACCGGGTAGTGCAAGTAACGCAGACCACAAACCACAATGCTTCAGATTGCATTTCTGAGAAGAATTATATGACAGGGTGCAATAGCAGATGTTTGGACCCCAGACTTCCTTTCCCAGCTTTGTCTTTTATTGGCTTGAAAAGACTACGAGTTTTAAGAGAGCATCCCATAGCAATTTTTGCGTAGACTGGAGATCTCACATTCATTAAATATTAAGACAGTCTGTATAACTCCTTTCCAATACAACTTTTTTTTGTTTTGAATGTTCAGTTCTGTCATCTTGATCTTTCAAGTTTTCATAATGCATAGTTGCTCAATTTCTGTGTAGAATTTATTTTTGTGCAGCAAGTTCCTGATCATGCAAGCTGATGGCCTCTGCTTGGTTTTGGTTGTGATGCCCTGAATGAGATTTCACACAGTGTTTACAGGGTTTTAGTTTTTAGTTTAGTTTTTCAGCTTTTACTTCCCAGTTAACATCCATCACATTTCACGGTTGATTGATGCCAGTCCTTAAGGCTGACTGGGCTAAACCTGAATGTTGTAAATCGTAGGAACTGCTTTCCTACTCGTGTTGAGAAGACCACTCCCAGTGGCTACTTAAATCCATGGAGGCAAGAGCAAAATTAAGCTAGCATACATGAAGAGTAAGTATTTTGGCTGCTGTTGTTGGAGCTGAAAGTGTGGAAAGAATCTCAAAGTACAGCAGACTGAGTCATTAGTGTGCTTGCTTAGATCTGTGAATGCTAAATTATGCCATGCATTTGCCAGATACCTAGTACAGCTACACAGAGGAAATGGCCAATGTGCTGCTAAATTATAGCAATTTCTTGCACTACAAGTAGTACAAGTTGGAGAACAACATTTGACTTTTTCCCAAGTTCAACTTACATCTGATTAGGCCAAAGGCAATGAGACCTTAAAGCTGATAAATTTAGTTTCATGTATCCCAGAGCCCTACACCAAAATCTTATAGTTTCTCAGGTTAGTATCAGTTAAGTTTTGCTTCACTGTGCACAACACAGTCAGTGGAGACCCTTAAAATAGAAACAGTTTATGGATACTAATTTTTTTCTGGTCACTCTTTTATGGTACATGGCTTTGTTTTATAAACGCTTGCCATAATTTACTTCATTTTATAGTTGCATGGCCTTTTCAAATCCCATCTGTTCAGTTGTTTGCCTACTTCTATCCAAAGGGGCTGCATTTTAGTACTGAATATTTTCCCATTTGAAAAAAACAAACAAACAAAAACAACAAATGAAAACACCAGAAACTTTTTGGGATCATTCATGTTGAGAAACGTTGTAAATATAAAAGTATTTTCATGACAGCTAGCTGGCTGTGATGAGAAGCTAAACAAAAACATTTGAATACAATATATTCTCAGCAACATAATTTCCTTTCAGTATTTTTTGGAAAGATTTTATGAGGACAAAACTAATTTCTGTGGTCAATTATAAACTTTTATTTTAAGTCTAACTGGATACAGAATTATGCAACAGAAGTCCTTCTGTCTGATTCTTCCCAGACTTTGGCAAGAATAAGCTTACTGGTTACAATTTTCAGTGGGCAAGAAATCTAGTGAATTGAAAACAAAATGCAGTACCTATCTACTGAGTACAATGAATTATTGATAAATGAAACACAGAAAGCCCTTTTTTCCTGACTCCTCTATTTATCCAGTAAGTAACTCAATTTCTTCCTTCCCAAAGTAACAATATAGCTCATAATAAAGTATGTCCCTTGAAATAATGCAGATTCACAATTTTTTTCAGTTTTCCTGGATCTTCTTCAGGGCTAAGTTTTGTAAACTTTTCTCATTCAGTAATATCCAAATAACATTTAAATTATAATTTAAAAAGCAAGCAAACAAACAAACAAAAAAAAAAAAAAAAAAAAAAAGAAAAAGAAAAAGAAGAAAAAAACAACCACAAGAAACAAAGCCACACAGTTTCTTCTCCTGCTTTTCATGGCTTGGTCTTTCCAACATCCTTCCTCAGGTTTTCATCCACTCTTCCAAAAGGGTTTCCAGCCATTTGTTTTTGGTTTCTATATTTCCCTATGCAGCAATCATTCTTAACCTGATTTATGGTTACCACTGTTGGCCAAGAGACCATTATTGGATTTTGTCTACTCTGAACAGAGAGACTGCACTCTGTCTTGTATTCCTCTGCCATAGACAGGTGTGTCCAGCGCACAGAGCTCTGAGGAGAGTGCTCAGTTTGTTGGTCACCTAATCTGACACAAGGTACAAAGCTGAAGAATCAGAGTGGAAAATCAACTAGCTCCTCTCCTTTCCACACCAGATATAAAAACAAAACAAAATGAAAGAAAACAAAACAAAACTCCAAAACACAGCACAAATTTATCTGCTGGATGATAAAAGCAGCTCTGAAGAAAGCAGACACACTGTGACTTTGGTTCTTTTTCTGAGTCCTGCTATTTGTGTCATTGCCACCTTCAGAGCCATATGGAATGCAAATTATGTTTAGGACTATGTTCTAAAGTCTTTTTGTGAGATTAACTGTCTGGAGGAGAAAGGATGTTAAGCAAGAATAGTGACGATAATAACTATGAACTAAGAAACAGTGAGGCTTCTTTGCCAGAAAAAAATATAATTAAGATCCCAAATTCTGCTGTACCTTGCTTGGTTCTTATTGTAAAGTCCACAACCCAACTCAAAGTCTATGCCGAGTGAATCTTGTCACTGGAGAGAAGAGTTTCATGGTGAGAGGACAGTCTGTGCAATCACTATGTGTGGGGACAGAGTCTTCTTGACCACTATTGTTCTAGTGGGACACTGGCGTGGCTTTCACTGCTTCTGATGACCAGGTTCCAAGACAGGGGACATAAACAGTCACAGAAGGAAAATGTTTATGCTTGACAAAATTGAAACATTACACAGTAGGTCACTGGAAAATCGGAAACATAAGGCTACTTGCATTTTGTTCTTACCTGTAAAACTAAAAAAGCTAAGGACACTGAGTCTCTATGCAGCAGAAGCTGTGTACAAAAGAACATTAGGGAAAGCAGTTAGACAGGGATTTTGTCCTATAGTCAGTTTTGTTCCCTGTCACTTTCTGTTTTTTCTTATATAAAGATTGTCTAATCTTCATCCTGAAGTGTTCGTGCTTTTATTAATGTTTTATGCTGACACATTTCAAGAGTTATTGGATAAACCAGCAAGACATATGTACAGTTAATTAGAAATGAATGTGATATCACATCAAAAGGCTTCAACTGTTAAGTTTTAAATGGTTATAATTAACTTGCTCTTTGATTCTGAGCTGGACTGACTAAAGAGACAATGAAGGTCAATTTCCGTTCACTTGAAAAAATAAAAAAATAGAATAGCTGTTAATTTAAAAAAACTCAAAACCCTCAATTGTGAAGCCGTTCAGTTATGCAGTATTGCCTCGATGTGAAGGCAAGCCAAAGAAAATCCTTTTAATTGGCACTTATATTTTCCTTTGTTATAAAAATATAGATTCCAATTCACCTGATATGGGAAAGAAAATGGAGAATCAAGTCAATACTATTTAATGCAGATTTTGATTTGATCTTAAGACTCCTAAGCTGAGAAAGAGTATTGATTTTTATACAATGCTTTCTCAGATGAGAAAATCCATAAAAAACTGTTAGGATTTGGAGATACAGCTATTAGAGAACTTTTGTTATTCAAAATATTGCTGCTAAATAAGCATCTAAACTAATTTTTTAAAAAATGTAGGAAAAATCCAAATCTTTCCACTGTCCAAAGCTCTCCCGACCAGATCCCACATGCATAAAATCCAGTTATTTCCGCTGGTTGCAACAGGATGCTCAGCCTTTTTCATTTTTCTACACTTCTTTCATGTATCGTTCTCAGAGAAGTAGCCACATTGGCTTGGGATTTGCTTGCTTTTTTGTATAATCCCAAGGGGATGCTATTAGCTCCTTCAGCATCACATGAAAAGGGCAAATGCAACACATAATCACATCATTAGGACAAATACAAACACAATTATCCCTCAACAGTGCAGCAGAAGGAAAATACAATGCAAACAATAAAATGTGTACTGAATGCTTATCAGAGTCAGTGGTTGGTTTTGAATCTGGCAGATATTTGAATGTGCAACCTTCTCAGTTATTCTTGCTTTCCTGGTAATGTAACCTTCGAAGTAATCTTCGAAGCTCTGTGGGTGGCAGCAAGGCTGAAATCAGCAGCACAGGCTGTTTGCCCGTGCCATGAACTTTTTTGAGACTGTGTTCTCTAAAAACAGCACCAATAAAAATTTGTTCATAGTGCAGTGGGAAATGTCGCACTTACACCACTGCTATCAAAGGTTAAAATAAAGGAAATGTAGTCAATAGCTTCTGGTCTATCTTGAACACCAAGTCCTGTAGTACAAATTAGGCTATATCATATATATATATATATATATAAAATATTGTGATTGTTATCTAGAAAGAATCACGAGATATTTGGAAAATTCTAGTGGCAACCTTGTGTTGGATTTTCATGAGCAGATTTGTCAGAGCTTGAGGGTGGGACTTGCTGCAGATGAATGCAAATGATCCCCAACCCCTTCCTCAGAGATCAAATCTGGCAACTTTTATCATAGGTTTTGGTGCTGCGGGGAAATGACTGGATGACAGTTTATAAAAAAATGCTCTTATAATATTAATATCTATTAACATTTTTAACTGTAACCTATGCATCATTAAAGTGAAGGAACTGATGAAGAG